AATGGCGTTGAGGAACACCCCTTTAACTAAAGCCTACCATCTACCCACAGGCCACATCTACACGAGATGCTTACTGCACAGTAGCTTATTACTACTGTGCAATAGCTCATTGGTACTGTGCAGTAGTGTTGTGGGGCGCAAACTGTGATGCGACGCTACCGCACAGTAGTAACAAGCTACTGCACAGTCAGTGTCACCCAGAAGCCATGTGGGGATGCTACTGTGCAGTAATGCCCGTTACTGCGCAGTCATTTAGTACTTGGTTATGCGGGTACTAAATGACTGCATAGTAATAACTGTGCAGTCAGCATCTCGCGTAGACGCAGCCACGGAATAGCTAAAAGCTGGGCCAGCAGTAGCGCATGCTTCTCCTGTGTTGTCCCACCAACATGATTTCAACCCTGACATAGAAGAAGTAATTTTAGAGGTGAACTTAGTTCCCATGGCCTGGTTGGTCCTTGGGGTCTCTGCTGAGATTGTCTGCAAAGGGGCATTCTTTGTGCCAGCTGCGATGAAGGTTTTGTGAAATGGATACCTGTCAACTAACGCTCAGACTGAGACCCACCAAATTTATTTCACATGGACAATGAGACAGCCCCTAGATGATAAGCACTTTGAACCATTACCAGTTTGGGCTGAATTCAAACTGGCACCTACAGGTGAAAGACAATACTCCATTAACAATTCCCTGAGTTATGCAGTTCCCATTAAAACAGTCTTTTATTTAGCCCAGGGAAAGCATTGGTCATAATCTCACACTCACGGTATTGACCCACTGGAGGTCAACAAGGAAATCTATTATGTCCAATTAAATGTGTAACTATAGAAAGCAGCAATGGAGATGAATTTTGTATCAATATATTGTCAGATGATGTAGGCTATAAGCGAGCAAATATTCTTTTTCTGCGCTAGGAGCTGAATAACTTAGGCGAGTTGTGCAAAACCATGAGAATTGTTAGCAAAAAGCGTGTAGTTTCTGAATGCATCTTGGTTCTTTATCTCACTGAAACAGATACCGGGGGGAAAAAAACAAATAGAGACAAAGCACTCTCAGGAATGTATAAAAGGAAGCAAACAAAACGTTCAGAGGAATGTGGGTAAGTGTTTTTTAATGGGAAGTTAGCAAGAGCACTGTTCATCTATGCTGGAACAGAATAACACCAATGTTGTGTCAATAGGCTAATAAGAAAGAACACAGGCGTATTTTCTCTGCGTTAAGAGGAAAATGAGCCCTGCAAAAAGCATGCATGTATTTAAGGGTGTCGATAGAATGGCTTTGGAAGCCGCACATCTAGTCTGACAAGTCCAGGACTGACCCACGGATGTCAGCATGACCACACCAGAAATTTGGGGTGTTGCAGTACATCCAGTTCAGACTGTGCTTTTCTGGTAGCAACAGCAGCCAGGCCTTGAGCACGGTTGGATGGCCTTCCCAGCCCTATTTTTTCTGCAAAGCTGAACACAATCATGTGACAGTAGTATTAGCCTTTTGAACCTTGAACCTGGACCAGTAGCTAGAACCAGGAAACGAATACTCTTCCTAACAGCACTTCATTACAGAGGCACACCCAACTTTTTTTTTCTTTAAAGCCTTCCTGCATAAACAAATCCATGTCACAAAGGGTGGAGGCGAGGGTAAAAAAACTGGAGTCAAAGTGGCTAAGTCTAGGAGTGACAATCGGCAGGGTCATTTATGAACTAGCTTAATGCAGCTTTTAACTTTGTAATTGGTGCCTAGATAATGTGTTGATAGCTATGGTTACAGCTGAGTGCTCTGAAAATGGTCTGCCTTGGGCTCATCTGATTTCTGGCGTGGAGTTTCATTGTCGAGGAGCCTCTGCTGAGATGGCTTTGCCCCAAGAGTTTCTCCTGCAGCTTGAGCAGTTGTATTATTGCTGTTGTTGTTTGTACAGCGCCAACGACATGCTAGATAGGAAGACTTAGGCGTTGCGGCACTGAGTGGCTGTGCCTAATGCGTAGGCACCTGGCCCTCAGAGCAGAATTAGGCTCCTTCTACAATGCATGGGGAAGTCGGGCAGCTCAGAATGGGATTCTCAGCAGCCAGCACCCTGCTTGCAGGGTTACTGGTCTCTCTGGTGCTTATCGAATGACTGATGTCAAATGCAGAGAGTATGTCAGCAAGCAGAATCCAAAACCCAGCGGTACCACCTTATCCCTAGCATGGTGCTCATGCAACCTTTTACACGTTCCCCTTCTGCCGCCATGAGTTTTGCGTTCTTTGCTATGCAGCAGCCCAGGGAGGAGTTGAGACCGCTTTTCTTCCTGCCTAGCTGATAGCTTGGTGGCCATGGCATTCTCTTGGAAGAAGTGGGTTTGATCTCTGGATGCCACAAAGGGCCCAACTTTCCCAGTTCCTGGGCAGGGCTTGTAATCGGCTGGCACCACATCCAGCTGTGCTTTAAATTGAATGTGCCCTGCTCAACAGTTCCCAAGAATGGAGGTAAGCATGGGCTCAAGTTGCAGCAAGGGAAGTTTAGGTTAGATAGTAGGAAAAACTCTGATGAGGAACGTAGCGAAGCACTGGAACAGGTTACCCAGAGACACTGCAGAATTTCCTTCCTTGGAAGTTTTTAAGACCCAGCTAGACAAAGCCTTGGCTGGGATGATCTAGTTGGGGATGGTCCTGTTTTGAGCAGGGGGTTGGACTAGATGCGACCTGCTGAGGTCCCTTCCCACCCTCATTTTCAATGATAAGCATCTACCCTCACGAGTGGCTTTGGGGCTGTCAGCCTGACTAAATGGAGATGCTTCCCTTACAGCCCTAGTTCAGGTGCCTCGCCTACAGAGCTTTGCTCCTACAGAGCATTTCAGACACACTCCAGTGCTCACTGTTTCCTATCGGCTAGGTCTAAGCAGTTCCTTGCTCGGCTTGCAAGTGTTTTGCATCAAATACATCTCCCCGTGCATCGAATGGGGAGCTGGTGCCGAACTCTGGATTTTGGATTTCCCTCTGCAGCCCTGCTGCCTGATACAGCACCTAGTTGGTAGGCATCTAAATCCTTCATTTGATCTGGGTCATTATGTCCTTCTTGCAGATTTGGCCCAACGGGTTGTATAGGATTATAGGAAAGTAGGATCTCATAAAGTCACCTCATTCAGCCCCCTGCTCAAAGCAGGGTCACCCCCTGTTCACCTCCAAGGTCATGATAATCTGTGATGGAGCAGGAAGTAAATTCATTTCTCCCATCCCTGGCTTGTGCTGTTAACCAGGGCACCCTTCTTCTACCCATTTAGCGTCTATAATTGTGCAAAATTGTCTTAGGTTTTGCACAAAGGGTCTGTAGCTCATAGGATGATGTTGCACTGGTGGGGCTGTAGCATGGCAGAGCTAAAGATGCTTCATGGCAGGTCATTTTGCCACCCCTGGTGTAACTCTACTTAGAAACGTTCCCCCTTTCCTCTCCGAGGGACGTGCCGCAGGAGCGAACTTGCTCGTTTTAGACAGTTTCTGCCTTATCATACAACACCACAAAGGGTGTTTGCGGGAAATCAGGAAGATTTGTTGCCAGGCAGGGTCACGCGCTGCTGCTCTGTCACTCTCTGTACGCCTTATCTCCCCGTGCGATGTCACGACCAGTCATCGCAGAGATGACGGAGCCGTCACTGAGGGATTAAGCACCAGAGACACGGACAACCTCGTTAGTAATGCGTGGGCTTTTCTGCAAAGTCTCAGCCAAGCGAACGGACAGTGTGTGCAACGGGAGGTGGAGACAAACTTTGGACTGGAGCAAACTCCATTCCAGCAGCTGGTTTCTGTTTGTTCCTGTGTCACGCGTGTGTCATGCCATTTACTGGAAGTTTCGCACACAATACGAATGATACAGAAACAGGATTGGTTTGCCAAGAACATGCATTTTTCCCCGTTGTCCTTTCCCTGGGGCAGCGGCAGCTGTACGGCTGCATGTCGAGCAGGGCACGGTTGTTACCGTTACCGGCGGGTTGGACCGGTCTGGATCCGAGCTGCCCCGTCCGCGGGGTCCGGACCCTGCGCTCTGCTTCCCGCAGGCCGGGGAGGCAGACGTCTAGCGTGACGGTCTTGTGTTGCGGCCTAATGAGGTCACGAGCAGCTGTGAGGTCACCACAGAGGAGAGGGACGCGGCCTTTCACTGGACACTGCCATGCTGTAATACCTTCCTGCAGTGCTGCCATGTGATGTCACTGCGGTGTCTGGGAAGAAGCTGGTGCCAGAGTGTGAGGTCACTTGGCCCTCCGGTGACTTCACTGCGATGACATCACACGCGCTGACAGAAACTATCGCTGGACTGTGACCTACGGTCATGGTGGTAGCACGACGGTCCTGTGATTGCATCATCACTGGTTAAGGGATCCTGGTTTGTGATGTCACTGCAATGCCTGGGAAGAAGCTGGCACCACGGTGTGAGGTCGCTCGGCTCTCTGAAGACTTCACTGCGGTGACGTCACACGCGGTGACAGAAACTATCGCTTGTCCCACGGTGCTTGCGTGACGACCCTGCGATTGCATCATCACCCGCTCGAGGTTCCAGGCTTGTGATGTCACTGCGGTGCCTGGGTGGGAAGAAGCTGGCACCAGGGGGGTGAGGTCACCCGGCCCTCCAGTGACCTCACTGCGGTGACATCACACGCGGTGACAGAAACTATCACTTGTGGTACCCCCAAATCCACGTTTCCCCACGATTTAAATGAAACACCGCTAAGAGCTAGAGAGAGTCATCGGGCCTCGCAGCGGAGATCGCTTTTATTAGACCAATGGAACAAAAATTCTTTAATTATTAATGAATTAATTTATAGCTAGAGTTTCATGTAAATCATGGAAGAATGGGACTTGATTTTTTTTCTTTTAACCGAAAATTGGGGATTTTTCTTTCTTTTTTTTTTTTTTTTTAATCGGAGAAAACCATGACGTCATACACCTCGGCCCCGCGAGCGTGCTCGCTCCGCGCAGCCGCAATGCACGCCGGTCTCGAGGCGGAACGGCTCCACG